AGACCGGTTTTGCTTTCTTTCCTACCGGCTTGTACTTTCGAACAATACCTTCCGGGATCTTTCTCCTAAAAAATGAACAGTCGGAATCGCCCTCGTTGACTCTACGACTCGTGGTTGAATACTAACTGGTTTTTCATTCAGGCAATATCCCTTTTGCACCTCTCCTTCGAACTTGGCCAAGGCCGCCGAGTCCACTCCTACCTTGTGGTATCTGAGAGCCTTAATGAGTTGTAACAGATCGGGGATCTCGAGCGCGACTTCTGACACGTCTATGCGTACTTCTTTCCGTTTGGGCAGGCTAGCACCAAGTTCGACCTCTGACTCCTTTTCTGCTACCATAACCCCTAGGACTTCGTCCTCCTGCCTCCTCTTCTTCTGGGGCAGGCCCATCTTGATCCACTCCTTGTTGAATGCTTCCTCAATCATGATTTCTACCCTTTCTCTCATACCCTCCATCTGTAAGAAAGTCCCTTTTCGTGTGCTATCCTCAAACGATGGCGACCATGTTGCCAATTTCCCCTTCGGGGTGTCTCCTCCCGTTCCAAGGAGTCGGAGGAGCTCTCCCCAACCGGTCACTGGGTCCTATATGTCTACCATGTATGAGCCATCGTGCAAGTGCATGCCTATCATCTCCATGTTCGCGCACCACGGTCTCCCGAGGATTATGTCGTGGTCCATTTCCTCCATTACGGTCATCCGCTGAAACGACCAGATCGATTCTCTGACTCCTGCCTTTGCAGCACACTTCGTGATGTAACCAGCGAACGGGATTTCCCTGCCAGCTCCCCGGATGCTCCCTGTTACTTCCTTGTTTACCGTACATTCCGTGATCGTTGCGAAATCTTTTCTTATGAGAGTGATTTCTGCTCCCCCGTCTACTAACGCGTCGGTATGATGAGTCCCGATCTGGATTTTCAGCTTTCCTACGGGCAGTGCATGAAAGCTAAGCTTTGTCTCGGGTGGTGACCTCATGACCTCGCAGCCCTCTCGGTCGGGCAAACTCAAGCGAATGTCCGCAAAAACTTTCTCGATATCCTCCAAGATCCCGCGACTCCTATGAAGGTTAGGCACTTCTTGCGGAACTTTCTCCTCCCTCTCCCCTTCTGGTAATTCGGGGTTGTCGCCTATTTATACTCGCCGCCGGGTCAACAGTTGTCTAAGCCCTTTGAGCAACCTAGGGCTAGCCTGCAGCATGGTTTGAAAAGACACCGACACCATGGTTCCTAGTAACTTGCTAATGGTGCCGTCGATCTCAGGCAAGGATAAGATCGGGATTTGGTACCTAAACTTATTTTATGCAGCAGTAACTTTGTCTGTAGGCTCCTCTTCCCTAGGCTTCCCATAGACCTTTTCCGGTTCCTCGGCCTCAGGCTCTGCCTGGGGTTCCGAACTTCCAGCAACCTCCTTCATCACGGTGTCGCGGTTAATCCTTCTCCCAGCCGTCCCTAGCCGAGTAGTCGTGTTTACCCTATCTCGTCCGTCGTTTTCCAGAATGAAGTTGATCTGCGGCCCGCGCCCCCGGAGTTGATCCCAGATGATCTCGCCCACCAGTTCGGCTTCTACGACCGTTATTTCTAACCCGTTGAGCATGATAATGGCTCGCCGCATCCCTCCTGGCGAGTTCCTGTTCACCCGTTCCCCCTGTGGTCCAAATATCTCCCCCTTTAATGACCTGGTACACCTCCTTTTCAGTATGTCATGGTTGAGCGTTGGACATGCCCGCACAAAATGCCCTACCGCGGTACAGTATTTGCATTGTTCGTTGGCGGGATATCTCCGTCCATATCCACGATTGGCTACCCCTGGCGGAACTACTGCTTCCTGGGGCGGCAGGGGGGGACGGGATACTTGCGCCTGCATAACTAGTAGCGCTCTCTCCATCCTTTCAATCTTGTTGTCGACTCCGTGCACCCGTTCGTGTAGGCTTTCAATCCCCTTTTTCTCCTTGTCGCCCGTCCTACTGGTCAAGTCTATGACATCCCCTTCCTTGAGCAAGGCCAACGTTTCTGTTACTACCGTTTTCTCAGCCAGATTTGTTACCGCGCTAAAATCAACATCCCGCGTGTTTACGAACTTGCTCGTCTGTTGGTAAGCTGACAGGATCTTGTCTTTGTCGAACTCGGAGAACTGCCTGAGGAAATATTTGCTCATTATCTGGTCCGTGACCACAGGGATCCTTAGTGCTACTAGAGTAAACTCCCGTAGGAAATCATTGTACGTTGCGAAGTTCTTCCTCTGGATTGCCGCTAGGTCGGCCTCCGTTGCCATTTTCTCTGCCGCTAGGTACTTCCTCATCATCACATCCCGGGTCTCCTTCCAAGACCGACTTGCGGCAACAATGGTCATTATGTCCCGTCCTCGGCTTAACGACACATGCTGTCCTAGGTGATCCATCGTTTCTTCCTCGGTCCACTTTAGTAACGCAGCTAGGTTCTCGTAGTCGATCAGGAACTCCGTGATATTTGCTCCATCGAAAGTCAACTTTTTCTTGGCGTCTGCTAGATAGCCTTGGTTCTTGTTCAGTGCTCGTTTTCCTAAGGCCGCCTTCGGGACTACTGGCCTCGCCTACCATGCTGGTATCCGGCCCTTCCTTGCCGGCTTTCCACCCCCCTCTAGTCTTTGCCGTTCCTTCCGGGTCGAACCATCCCAACACCCTTTCTCTGAGGCTCCAGAGCCCTTCACATCCTCGCGATACCGTTGGCGAGGTCGGCAGACGGCTAGCCCTACTATCTATGGCTAAGGGGTTCGTAGCCTTCTCTGCCTCCTTTCCCGGAGAGTTCCCTCTCTCTTTCCTTCTTTTGCTCGGTGTTCCCCCACGGTCACTACCCTTGTCCCCTTGCCCAGTTCCGCCCCGGTTGGTTTTCCGTTCGTCCCGCGGTACCTCCAGGCTCCTGCAGAGGGCCTTCCTCGTTCCCAGTCATCATTTCCTTCATTAACCTTGCCTTGTATTCCGCGGTCCTTTTCTCTATCTCTGCTAGTTTGTGCCTTGCGTCCGTGACCCTTACTTTCTTAGACACAGCTCCCTCCGAGTTCCCGGGGCTTGCCCTATCCTTATTCCTGCGCTTCTTGTTTTCCTGGGTCCCCTGTCTGCTTCCCCCGGCTTTTCCCGAGCTCTCTCCCGAGGACATTTCCTTCCGGTTCCCTTTGGTGCCATCCGGATTTGTTGATTCCCTGTCTTTCTGCCCTTCCTTGCTTTGCTCAGCACTGCCTCCTAAGCCTGGTCCTCCTTCGCTTTCATGATTACATGTCTCATCCTCCGTTGCCATACTTGCCTACTTTTGCATGACCAAAGGGTTCCCCAGAACAAACACAATGCGAGGCATTTAGGTTCCCTAGATTCCAGTCCTGTTGGTTTATCCTTTTACTTGGCAATTAGGCTTTTCCCCATTCCCATTTTCTGATGGCTTCCTTAATATGGAGCCGCGTCCGGCTCTTCTGCCTTACCGAGCTAAGGGCGTGACTTAGCTTCCCTTATCACCGACTCGTTTAGAGCGCCCTTATTCCGTTGGTCGGTGCGTAGGGGTCCGGGTTGGGCAACCCGTTAGGAAAAGTTTTCCTGCGCAGTGTTCCTTGTCTGGCGGTTATTGATCATCTGGGTCCGAGGCCCCCCCCTTTCCTATTTCTGTCGGTGGGCCTTCGAACGCAGCGGACTGTACTTGGTTTGCCCTACTGGCTCGCCTGCGGGTGCTAGTCCCGTTCTTGCCCTCGTGGCCCTTCCGGTTCAGTAGGCTCCTCGAATAGTTGAGCCACCCTTGTCAGATAATTCTTCCATATCTCGATTTCCCTTTGGATTATGCGCTCGCACCCCGTCCAGTCTAGCCGGGGCGCATAAAACATCAGGATGTGGATGACTTCTAGTAATTCGTGGGCCTTGTTTCCCCTGAACGGCCCATGTTCCACAGCGACATCATAGAACATCCCGATGGTCGGAGAGGGAAAGTGGTCTGCCCACATTATTGTCGAGTCTGCCAGCTCTCGCGCCCTTGCGAGGCTCCCGAAGACAAGGTCTATCATAAAACGGGGAACCCGGCACCTTAGCGGTGTGGTTGGTGCTCTGAATTCCCGCCATCCCCCACGTTTCCACCCGGGTAAGTAAGCCCACGTTTCTTCTACCCCTGATTGATTGTCCTATCCGGGTCAACGTCCGGGCGGCCCTTCGAAAGACCGGTGCCAGCTCGTGACCTTGTGCTATCTCTACCCCCAACGAGTGTCAGACAATCTCAGGCAGATACATGGTCCCGGTGACTTCCAGATTGGAAAACAGATCGTCTCCGGGTCCTCGATCGAGTCTGATCCGTGTCCACCGACATTCTACCAACATGAAGGCGGCGTCCCTTCCCAAAGTCACGGCCCGCCATTCTATGTCGAACCCCCGATAGGTAGAACTCGGCGGGAGGGATACTTTCCATCGTCCACTGTTATTCCAGGGTGGTCCAGGGTACCGGGGCTGGCGTTCCATTCGCACACGGGGCTGGCATTCCATTCGCTCACGTCTTGCGGCCATTGTTACCTTGGTGATTCCCTGCATAGTCCACATAGAAAGGGTTACAGTCAATCTTCAGAATCCGTCCACCTACTGCCTCCCTTGCCCTTCGTGTTTCCATCCCTCTTTTCTAGTCCCAACTATCCCTCCATACCCCTGGGAGCAGTAGCCCCCTCTGACTGTTTGTACAGTCGGTAGAGATCATCTATGTAGGTCGCGCCCCGACCTACCTCTCGCCGGATGACTCCCTACATAGTCTCATCACTTATTTGTGGGACTCCCGGCCTAGTATTTACCACTGCTCGTAGAATACAAAGCACCTCGCGCCCCTGTTCGTCCCTGAAAGACCCCATCTCTAGGAAGACCCGATAGTATTCTCGATACATTAATGCTTCGTCAAAATTTAGCCTAGTTACGACAGTCACCGCCTGCTCCACTCGTTTTATGCCTCCCATTCGTCTTAGCAGGAAGGGTGGTAGACTCATCCGTACGACCTCATTTGGCAGCTCTAAAACCCCTGTCGCGGCGACTTTTACCTCAGCCATCACGTCATCTCGTTCCGGATTTGCAAACTCAAACCCCTCCCGCCAGGTTATTTGCCATGGCCCTTCGAACATTCGCACAGGGTCATCCCCGTAGGCCAAGGCAATCCCAAAGGTCTGCCACCCTTCTTCCGACAGGTGTAAGGATCCCGTCGCATGCACTCGCCCTGGGAGGTCCAAATTAATGCCCCCGAATTCCCCTCTCGTACGCCACTCCAGTTCTATTACTAGGTACACCGTGTCTTCCACCAACTCTACCCCCACCCAGTCCATTACCGGGTTACTCACCACGTTCCTTGATGGCAGGCTTATTTCGACCTTGTTTCCCGATGCCCTTGGTGGTCGGATCCCGCGAGGCCTATCTTCCCAGAACGTCATTCGCCGGGCCATCTCGCAATGCCTCCTTTCCCGCTTCCTTAGTTCGATTGCTGCACCCACCAAGATTCCGCGTCGTTCGTGTTTTAGTCTTTCAGTACCCCCATTCCTATCGTACACTGGTTCCCGCCACTATCCCGTCTCCTTGCCTGCCCTTATTTCGGTCTCCTCACGTCCCCTGCTGACTAATGTACATTCCCCTTTCTTATGCTACATCCTAATTCACATGCACCCTCCATACTCCGTTCTTCCTGTGGCGCTCGAACTTTGAGTCCCTTTAATCAAACCACCGCACCTCAAATAGCATAAAGACATCGTCCACATAGGATGGCGCGGCCGCCGCCTCCCGACTAACTATGGCGTCCCAAGCTTCCGCGCTTACCTCTAGGCGGTCGTATTTACCTATCCTCAGGATGGTGATGACCTCACCGACTTTATCCCCGTAGAAGGGCCCATATTTTAAGGAGAACCTATAGAACTCCTCGGTCAGCCAGACACATTCTATGTGTACTTTCCTCATAGAGTCGGCTACGTCTGCTATGTGTTCAAAACCCCCGAACCAGTCGGCCACGAACTCGGGCACCCAAGTTGTTATGCGCAGGCAGGGAGGCCTGAGCTCTTTCCACCCTCCCATCACAACTTTGCTACTAACTTCGTCCCACCTCTCGTTGGCGAACCTCTTGCCTTCCCTCCGGGTTCGCGCCTCTGCATCCCTTAGAAGCCACATCGGGTCTTGTCCCATGGCTAACATAGTGCAAAACAGGTGCCATCCATCCTCGGAAAGGACAATCGTTCCGACTGACTCTACCTTGCCTTCTGCTATATCATCCCAACCTTCTTCTTCCCTTATCGGGTTCCAAATCCGCTCTACCCATACATATGACAAGTCCCGAGTGACCTCAAACCCAATTCAGTCACACATGGTCCCCCTCCATTCATTTTCTGTCGGTATAGGCATTTCTATTCCTCCTCTGAGTCGCCGTGGTTCCCAACCTTTGAAGGTGTATTCCATCATCCTTTCTTCTCTAGTCATCTTCCCCTTTCCTGCACAATACCAGGCCACCCGTCCTTCCTAGGTTAAGTTACCCCACCCCTCTTAGAAGTCCCAGTCCTCCATCTCATCATCTTCGTCTTCATCACTGAAGTCGTCCTCCTCGTTGTATAACAAACCTCTCACCCCATCCAGAAACGTCTCCCCTATTGCCACATTCCTGTAGACTATCCCCCAATGCACAGAGCTAGGGACAAAGATATTGTCTATGCTAAGACAGTTTAGTATCTCGACCAGCTCGTCCGCCCAGTTCCCCTCAAACGGCCTCATTTCTACTGACAACCGAAAGAAATCCTGCCTAGCGCATTGGTATAGTCCAAGGTTCGTCATGGACTGACATATCCTTAACAGTCTGCTCCGGGTTCCAAACACCGCATCCACTAGGAAGGGAGGCAGCACGCATCGCATGGTTCTCGCGGGTCGCCTCATGCTTCCTCTATCCCCAAGTTCCACCCACACATCTACCCTTTCCATTTCCATCTCCCTTCGCTGACACACGGCCCACACAACTTCCGCTTCAGCCTTCCTAAACAGCTCGCCCGGCGCATTCCCGAGTGCCAACTCTACGACCATAGCATTCTCCCCATCTTGCGACAAGTAGACCCACCCCCGAGCTTCCACTGTTCCCCGGAACTCCAAATCCATTAAACTTGGCTACAACCTTGTCAAACTAACATTAGCCCATATCATCTCTATCCATAGGAACGCGTCCTCCCCTTCCAGCATTACAGTTTGATAGGCTGGTTCAAGGTTCGTCCACGCCCCATCTTCCGGGAAGACGACCGACACCCCATCCTTTACGTCTACTGGCATCTCTGGACCATTGGTATAAGTCGGGGGAGACAACCATCGCGCCATCTTGTTTCCAGCACCCGGCCCCTGTTTTCATGAAAGAGTACCAACCGGTTCTTCTGGTCAGGTCAACCCCTTTTCCTAAATGAGGATTATTTCAGACCCCCCATTAAGGTCTTCCGAATTTACCTCCCCCTTTCCTAAGTACCCCCTTTCCATAATTCCCTCGTCCGGCCATCCATTTCCCCACATTCCTTTTCTTGGTTCCATTCCATCTGACTTCTATCCTCCTTCTTTCCGATCATCTCGCACTTGTGTGGACGTAGAAGGGAGGGGGAATAGACTTAGAAGAATGTCCGTCCAACAATCCAAGCTCAATCAATCTTTACGGGGGGTGGGGGAAAACACAAAAAAAATCAGGCAATCTCACATACGGGCCGGTCATCTCCTCACCGGCCATCCCAATATGATTTTTCCGCTGATACTATCGGTAGAGTTTTATCCCATACCTCAAGCGCAGCTCAACCGTCGCGAGCGCGGTACCTAGGCTCCGACAAGGCGTTAGCCCTTTCCTTGTCCCCAGAATACCCCATCCCATCTTGCCGCTTTGCACATCCATACCGAAACCGAGGGTTACCCCGAGTGCCTAAATACAGGGACAAAGTCAACCGTCCGGGCATTCACTTCCATCGGTCCGACAAGAATCAGCCTTTCCCAAAACCATGCTACGAGAAGCTACTAATCGCCTCCGAGGCTCCGTCTTTGTCCGCATGCAATGATACTCCCTCCGCCAGCCAACAGGCTAAGCCTCGCCTGAGGAGATTTCACACCCCGTCCGGCAGATCATCGAGTCGAAGTCCGTCACCGCTCGAACGGGAATGCTACTAATCAACCGACGTGACAAACTCCCGTCCGTCAGCTCGGTGGTCTGACCTCCACATACGAACACACGACAGTCTACAAAACAGAACGACGTTTCACAACCCGCACTGGCTGGTGCAGACCAATCATTTCATTCCGAAAGGTAGCACGCTCGAATCCCATCATGCAAACACAAGTCCCAAGTGGGACACACATAGTACAAGTGTCATTCCCTTGGTGCAACCAACGCTTCCTACCCATAACTCATTGATTTTCTCTCAGGACAATGAGTGTCACTCCCCTTACTTTCATACATAGTGGTTGGTTCCTTCTCGTGAGAATC